AACAGCAAACACATATTTTAACAAAACAAGCATATGAATTTTTGAATTTAGTTAAACATTTAAGTTTTTTAAAATCAGGTTTGTTTTTGTTAAAATTGTTTTTAACTAAAATAGTTAAATGAAATTAAAATAAATAAATAAATCGACTATGTCAGCCAGGTCAACATGAGAAACTTAAAATATTGGCTTCTGCAGTTAACTCAGTCGTCTTCACCTTCATTTTCCTGTTTGTTCATAATCTGGAAAAGAAAAACAAGCTTTCCTGCTTTTTCAGGTCCCAAATGATTTCTCAATTTGGAATTAATTAGTCTAAAGGAAGAAAATATTCTTTCTACACTGGCAGAAGATGCTACTGCTATTAAAAGTGAGATTATCACTTCAACAGTCTCTGGATCCAAGCGCTAAAGTGACTTCCACCAGTTCACTGGTGTGACTTTCTTTAAAACATCACCAGCAAACATATATTTCTTGAATGGTTCTTATTCCCAAACTGGGTCTCTTTTATGGCCTGGTGCCATTATAGGTTTTCCCTTCTAGTGAGAGAATGGTATGTTAGATCTCAAATCAATGAAGGCTACAGTCAGAAAGACTGCAAGACTTCTCGAATATGCTGCTCAAACAGTTTCACTTTTGTTTCTACTGCCTGTCCCTCCCTTCTCACATTTATCTCCAGACCTCTTCTCCTTGTCCAGATCTATTCCACCCCCAACAATCTTCTATTCATTGAACTTTTTGAAACTTTGCACTTTCAGAGAGAGGTAAGAGACTGACTATGTGTACACAAATTTGCAGAGGGACAATAGGGTTGAGGTCTGTTATTTCTCACCTCTATATATTATTTATTTATTTGTTTGTTTGTTTGTTTAAAAACATTTTTGCAGTTAACAAGCATGTTATCTCTGGAGACACAAATCCACAGTTTGAGAACTGCAAAACTAAGCATCCCTGATGGTATCTTCTAGACTGCACACTAAATCCCATTGGGTAGATAGAAAGAGTAACCTAAATAATCTATACAGAAGCCCCTGGAGCCCCATAAGAATGGGTCCCTAATCCATGAACTACTGGAATTCATTTACAAAACTTTTCTTAAACATTACATGAATATATCGCCTCATACTATAGAATTAGAATTTATAATCCCTATTCCATGATGAGATATCTTTGAGCTATAATGTATCTTAATGTATCTTAATTAGAAACTTAATTAGAAACTATTTTTAGATTTTAGGTTTTTTCCTCAAAAAGCATTTTATCAAAATGGGGGTTACACAAGGAGGTAAGGATGGAATCTGTGGAACCAGAGGGTAAGTGACCTTTGAGGAGGAAGACTGTAGCAGTCATGGGGCGACTGCCATCTTCCAGCTGCAGCAGGTGCTGGGGGAGTGTAGAGGGAAATTATTTCCCTCCAAGGCTCTAACCAGTTCCCCCCCAGTCCCCCAGCCCACAAAGCATTTACTTGGGTTTGGTACTGGGTTGAGGATCTGCCTCTGAGCAAGCACTACAGGAATGAGCACCTGATATCTGGCACTTAGATGTAAATACAAGGCCAAGTGGAATGGAAAACAAAAGAGAAATCCCTGCAGATATTCAATAGTTTCAGAATAATCGAGGCCAGCTCCCTGTCAGATTTTTGTTGCTAAGAAAGAGAAAATCTTGATAATGAAGATCATCACACAAGTCTGTATTCTTTTTATTGTACCTCATTGTAACCAATCCTTAAACACGCAGAAGAAAAACTAACACCAACCTTTACTCAATATTTAGGGTTACCATCCGTCCGTATTTCCCCGGACATGTCCGGCTTTTGTGTCTCTAAATAGCCGTCCGGGAGGAATTGGTAACAAGGTTAAAAGGTCCGGGATTTTTCCCCTCCCCTTCCTCCCTCCCTTCCATGCAGAGTGCAGCTGCTGATTGGGCGGCTGGGCCGGATTGAGCCACTCCCATTGGCCTCCAGCAGCCAGAGCCCTCCCCTGCTCCCCCCTCCCTCTGTCTGCAGCGTGTTTTGCCTACACGTGGACATGAGCATGGTAAGGGGAGTCCCAGGGGGCAGTCAGGGAGCGGGGGAGTGTTGGAAGGGTCCCCGGCCCCTCCACCTGCCACCCCCCCTCCACGCATCCCCCCCCCCCGAGTCCCACCCCCCCGCCTGCCTCTCCCATGCCTGCTTGTACTGCCAGAGCCGGCAGCAACTGCTGTCTGCTGCCCCCGGGTCCTAGTGCCCCCCATCCACAAATGGCAAGACAGGCTGCCCTTACCCTGCCCTTCCACCCTAGCCCTGAGCCTCTCCAACGCCCCAAACCCCTCATCCCCAGCCCCAACCCTCATCCCCCCGCACCCTAATCCTCTGCTCCATCCATGAGCCCCCTCCTGTATCATGAACCCCTCAGCCCCAACCCTCATCCTCCCGCACCCTAATCCTCTGCCCCAGCCCTGAGCCCCCTCCTGCATCATGAACCCCTCATCCTCAGCCCCAACCCTCATCCCCCCACCCCCTATTCCTCTGCCCCAGCCCTGAGCCCCCTCCTGCATCATGAACCCCTCATCCTCAGCCCCACAGCCCTCACCCTTGCACCACTCCTATCCCCAAACTCCCAAACCCCCTCCCCCTTCCCACACACCCCCTCCTGCCCTCAAACTCCCTCCCAAAGCCGGCACCCCCTCCCTTTGCACCACCTCCCACCCCCAAACTCCATCCCAGAGTCTGCACTCCTCACCCCCTCCTGCACACCCACCCCCTGCCCCAGCCCAGAGCCAGCACCCAAACTCTATCCCAGAGCCTGCACCCTGCACCCCTCCTGCACCCTAGACTTCCTCCCCCCACCCAGGACCTGCACCCCAGACTTCCTCACCCCACCCAATCCCCCTCCCAGAGCCTTAGGCAGGTGGGGGGGGGGGCGGGTTCTGGGCACCACCAAAATTTCTACAACCCTGCCACCCATGCGAGTGGATAAGCGTCGGGGCAGTCAGGGGACAGGTAAGTTCCTAGGGGGGCAGTTAGGGTGGGGGGTTCTCAGCAGGGGGCAGTCAGGGGACAAGAAGCGGGGAGTTGGGAGTTTTGAGGGGGGCAGTCAGGGGGTGGGAAGTGGGAGGGAGTGGATGGGGCGGGGGCGGGGCTAGGGCGGGGCTCCTCCCCCCCCCAGTGTCCTCTTTTTTGATTGTGGAAATATGGTAACCCTATCAATATTGCCACCTGTTCACACCAGCCCACACTAGAGCAATCTGCCTCAAGAAACACCAGCTACAATATTTTAACCCTGAGATTGAAAGTGCTGCCAATTAGCACCGCTCTGAAACAACTATTACCCCAGTGGCTGCTTGTTCTAGTCCCTTCCTCCCCCTTTACAATTTTGTTAATTTAAAGACCATGTTAGTATTCAACTTTCCAGCAACAATGATCAGAGCTCATTGAAATACTACTAAGTGAAAAATCTCGTTCAACAAACTCAATGATAGCAACTATAAAGCAAACAGAAAACTCTATAAAACAACTATGTTGAAAGGTTAAGCAATGCAAACCCTTAAGAACAAGGAAATACCCAGTTCTGGGACACACAGCACATTTCCAATGGCAGTTAAAGAGTTCTGCTTCTTTTCAAGGAGCTTTCTCCCACAGAGACGGAACCCCTCCTCTAAGGAGAGATTCATCTCCCACACATTGATTATAACCTTAGGAAGTATTCAAAGTTGACACATGTACATAGGTTAAGTGTGCAATGTGTTATGTGTTCCCAGAGGAAGCACGAGATCACAGTTATATTACACTGCAAGGCAGATTACTGTGCAGAACTATTCACAGGATTGGGCCATAAACATATACACAGTAAGTATATGGTAAAGGGAAAAATTCCCCATAGTCTGAGACTATACGGTGAATCAAAACCTGAACCCGAACACACAGCCCTTTCTACAAGCTCAACCAGCATGCATAAGAGTTCTGTTGCATCTGGAGGGAGACTAAGTATGTCCCATCCATGGTACCGAGCCTTCATCTGTACAATGGAAATGGGGAAGTCAGCAGCTACTGACTCGGAAAACTGGTACTCTTGGTAACAAGCAAGTACCACACTGCTGTGACAGTCTGTACCCCTTGGTTCACCCTTTTTACAAGACTATGATAAATTGTATACAAAGTATGTGTTGTGAGGTTGTGACTGGTTCCCTGGGGTTCAACCTGAAACTGGGATATTGCTGAGTCCTCTGTCTTACCAACCTGAGCTCCCTCTCACACTGTGATGCTTTGACAAGCTGCAAACCTCTCCAGGTCCTGCACTTACACAGACATCCACAGGCAGGGACACTCCCAGCTGAATTACATGAATGCTTCTCCTAGCCACTCATGAACCAACAGCAGAGAGGCTCCAGACAATTCCCCACAGCTCCCCAGCCTGGGACCCCAGAGCTGTACCATCATGCCCTGGTCAGAAGCCTGACCAGTGAAAATTTATTACCCAGTCCGTCCCTCCCTCAATGTGGAGAGGACATGCACCAGCTCTTGTTCCTGAGCAGATTACCCATGCAGTTCAAGATAGTTACCTAGGAAATTAAAGTAAAATCACAATCTGAGTTCTATGAACTAGACAGGATTTGAATCAAGCAGTTTCTTAGCCTGATGGTATAGTTCCTTAATACACAAGCTGGGATTCTTCTTTCTGGAATTGAAAAAAGTCATTTCATTTCTCCCCTGCTTAAGTTTTCCCTCCTTTGTGGCTTCTGACCAATTTCCACAACCAGCATTACAGCTCTGATCACAAAAGGAAGTAAAAACAAATGGAGAATGGGGAAATACTTAAACAGAAAATTATTCAGACTATTTGTTTTTCTGCTGAAAACACTTGAGCAACTGGAGATTTTTCAACATGACAATTATTTTGTTATGTGCTTTCTGTGGAAAGGAACATTTCCCAAATAAATACTACACTTTATCTCTTGACATCTGAAGAAAACAGCTGCAGGAAACTCTTGTCAGATTCCTTAAAGTGAATGGGTAAAAAGCCACTTACCCCCAGTTGCCACAGTAATTTCACGTAGGAAATGTCCATAAAATGGAAAATCGAAGGACAGATTCACCCTCTGCAAGGAACAACATCAAAAAAGAAAAATCAATAATGTTAAGAATAGGAAGAGAAAAATGAAGAGCCCTCCACTTCAAAATGTGATTAACCCATTTTCTCCTGCCATTTTTAAAGCAGCCTTGTCATCCCTCATTTGGAATCCCCAGTGGTTAAACTGGAAAAAAAATGTGTACAAGCTAAAGGCCTGAAAGCACATCACATGGAAACACAGGATCTACACTACTGATTAAAAAAAACATATAGCCCCGCTAAATGGATGATTCTAGTCTGTGATGGGTAATCATCATGTTTGGGAAGGGTTTCCCCTAAGCAAGGTTATTTCTGCCTTTTTTCTTAGGATGACAACCATCATTATTTCAAGGCTATAATAGTATCTGATTATTACAACATACCCTAATATTTGTCCACTCCATCAATTGAAGGCAATGGTCTGTATTTAAAATATCCTTCAAATGTATTTTTCTAAGCCCACTTCTGTCTTGTTTTTAATTTGTATACTACCTTTGGATTGAATTTGGCTCCGTTGCAAAAGGATTAGTTTCTCCAGCCATCAGAGATTTTTAATGACTTATTTGGCATGAAATTAATCACTGAAGATTACAGTGACTTGAAATTAGATTTTCTTTCCTCTTAAATGGAAACCAGAATTTTGAAGGGATTTGTTATTACTTTTTTTTAATTTACAACTGGAACAGCAAAATGCATTTTCATTGTGCTAACTAGACTATGTAGACTCTCTCTTTCTCTCTCTCTCTATATATATATAAACTGAACACTTCAAATCAAGATGGCACATCTAATGACAGTATGTGAACTAACAAACAGTTTTTTCCATACATGTTTTCTTTGTTGACAAACATGGTATACTAATGTACATACTGTATATACTCGATCATAAGCCGGTTAGTTTATAAGCCGACCCCCCCCAAGATGGCTACGTAAAAATGGAAAATTTTTATAACCTGTTCATAAGCTGACACTATAATTCAGGGGTCAGCAAACTTTGGCTCCCAGGCCATCAGGATAAGCCGCTGGTGGGCCGAGATGGTTTGTTTACCTTGAGCGTCCGCAGGCATGGAGGTAAACCTAAGTAAACAAAGTGTCCCAGCGTGCCAGCTGCTTACCCTGACGGGCTGGGACAGCAACTGGTGGGGAAATTTTTTTTGCGGGGGTGGGAGAAGCTGGGAGTCAGGGGAGTAACCCCTGTGACCACCCTCCATATGACCCCCACCCCTAGCCTGGGACCCCCACACTCTCCCCATCCCATCCCTTCCCATCCCTGCCTTAGCTGAGGAAGGCCAGGGGAGGATGTCTCTGACCTGTCTGGAGCTGCTCCGGCAGGCTGAGCAGTACGGGCGCAGCCTGCTCTGGCTGGCCAGACTGGGTGGCGTGGCCGCATGTTCCAGCGGGCTGGGCCGGGTGGCACGGCCACTGCATGCTCTGGCGGCGTGGCTCTGGGGGGCGGAGCCAAACGACACGGCTGCAGCCTGCCAACCCCGGAGCTGCAGCTGCTTCGGAGGCTGGGGGGAGAGCAGCGTGGCCGGAAGCGGAGAGACTCTGGCCCTGCCACTTCCCTTCTGGCTGTGCTGCCTCTCCTTGCACCCTCTGTTGGGGGGTGGGGCTGTGTCCCACCTCTCCCTCTCTATACCCGTTCATAAGCCGACCCCCTTCTCTGGTGCTTCCCTTTTTTACTAAAAAAATTCAGCTTATGAATGAGTATATACGGTACTATTTATTGTCCATGTGCTTCTTCTGCTATACATTATTTCCAACAGCACAGCTAAAAAAGGCCAATTTTTCGGACCAAAACAATACTGAGGGACTCAGGTAAAACGTAAGAGCCACTCAATATTGGGCAAGAAAAATATGTACTCATAAAAAAGGAACAAAGAAGCAGAAGATTTTCCTGTTTAAATAGATATGGTCCCTTCTGAGTGACCGGCATAACAGTATTTATTTCTTCTCTATCCTCTTTGGTTTATAATTAACTTACTTTTTTCTTCCTTTCTTATAAGCCCATTCATCTTTCCTATTGTGTATCTACATCTTCAACATTTTGTTTTTAATCTTCACTGTTCTAGGTCTTGCCTCCAGACTATTTCTTTCTGCCCAGACCAGAAAGTAGAGGGCTTTTTTTATTTTTAGCTTAACATTAACAATTGTTATTTCCACCCATATTTCCCCTTATCCCTGTTGAGCTCATTTAGAATAGCTTTTACAATAATTTAGAACCACTTTGGCAAAAAACTGTGCCCCCTTATCAATACAGCAGGACTCTGAATTAAAAGCAGTACTATTAAAAGACCCATCCTGTGCCCATTCAACAAATATTGAGCTTTCATTGATTTCATTTGTACAGTTGGGCCCTAAATCCTGGGACTGTAATATCTGTTTAATACAATATTAGGATTTAAATAATCATCTGTAATACAGGGCATTAATGTCTGTTTTTTAATCGTGTATTTTTAAGGACACCCATCATTTAAGACATGCTCACCTTTCCAGCTGGAAAGCTTATATCAACTTTTGCAGTTATAATGCTGTAGGGTTGATATGTCCAGCAGGAGAAAGGCACAAGTGATAGAATTTGTGTGCTCAAAAGAGAATTGTGTATTCACTAAATATCTTGTAGCTTCCCGATTCAGCAAATCTGTTATTAGATGTCTTACCAACAAATCTGTGCATCCAAATCACAACTGGAAATTTCATTTTATTGCCAAAATGTTAATGAAAAATAAAAATAAATAAAAATGGTGAGAAGGAGTTGTACATGGGAAAATATAATCCTTTTTATTTTCAAAGGTAGGATAGAAACAAAGGGAGACTGTATTAATGGACTCTTTCATGATTCCAGTGACAATTGCTGAATAACATCATTAAGCATTGATAGTGCAGGACTTAGAACTAACACACCTCATGGCTAATCTGCCTTGTTCCTTTTCCCTTGAAAAACAGGAGTAAGAAATGGTATATGGCAACTCAGAAGCTTTATGTAACTTTCAGTATTGCAGAACACATTTATTTACCTGTAGATTGAACAGGTATTTTGTCCATTAGTTTATCTTAATTTTGAGGTGATGGTGGAAGAAAGGTGACACCATAATTCTTAGCATTCCCAGAAAGAATCATACAGAAAACACTTATGGGCAAATTGCCATGTCAGAAACACTGGTTTCTTGATGTGCCAGTCCCAGAGATATCATTGTGTTCTATAGGCAGTTGTTACAGAAGTGATATCCCAACATGGCCCTGAGGTGGGCATTATTAATGTCCTGTATACAGATAGTTGCATCTGTCCTAATAGCTGCACAACTTTGAAATGACACTTTCTATAATTGCAGGGTTGTACTTCATTTTCCTTCCTTATATCCATTAGGAAAGTACATTTTCTTACTTTGGAATTTTTCAATTTTTTTCTAAATTTTCATAATTTCTAATTTTTCTGTCTTATTTTATCATTTCTAATTATCTAATTTTTTCACAATGTTTTATTTTTAAAAATAAACAAATGCAAACACTAATGAGGTACCCTACAATAATAAACATGAGGGCAGTGGAAGGTAAACAAACCCAAATATCACTCAGGATACAAATTTCAGTGTCCAAATTCCAAGTAGTAATTTATTATAAAATAATTTTAAAAATTAAAACTACAAAAATAGCAGAGGTTCTCATCCAAGAAATGAGAACATTTAGATTGTCAAATTATTGAAACATTGAGGCAGGAGGTCAAATTTGAGATCTTACTGCAAATCTAGGGAAAACTAAATGTCCAATGAACCTTTCCAAATTATAGCTTTGCAAAATTACCTTTCTAGTTCATTATGACTTCAAGCTCCAAACAGTTTACAAGTTGATAAAATAATGTTCAAGCTTTATTACATCTGTTCAGAACCCCCAAATTACAAAATGGATTAACACTGAACTTTTAAGTAAATCTGAATCCTTGTTTTCCTATACTAAAGAATGATGCTTAAGAAGTCATCAGCATCTAAATTACTAAGGGTATGTCTATACTTACGCGGTAGTTCGACGGCTGGCTATCGAACTTCCGGGTTCGATTTATCGCGTCTGGTCTGGACGCGATAAATCGATCCCGGCAGTGCTCGCCGTCGACTGCAGTACTCCAGCTCGGTGAGAGGAGTACCGCGGAGTCGACGGGGGAGCCTGCCTGCCGCGTGTGGACCGCGTCTGAACAGCAATAAGTTCGAACTAAGGTATGACGACTTCAGCTACGTTATTCACGTAGCTGAAGTTGCGTACCTGAGTTCGAATTGGGGGGTTAGTGTAGACCAGGCCTAAGTCTCAGCAAGATGTGTGAATTGACCTTTCATTGAGTAATGAAGGAGTTTCATCGCTGCACAAGGAGATGAGAGATGTTTCTGCCCAGCTCCAACTAGACCGCCCATTTGGCATTTTTAACACTATACTAGTTTTATGGTTTCTTATTTTTTCAAAAGTCATCACAGTGATCATTTGTAAGGAAGCATAAAGCTATGAACTGGTGTCAAGTACAACTATAGCCCACATTCCTTTTCTCTAGATGCAAGATTAGAATTTTGACCTAACTATAATCAGTCTTTTAGAATTACTATTTTTTACCCTTTGAACTAAAAGTCTTGGTCCCTGGGCTAGCAGAAAGCCGAGTGAATTATGAAAGCAATATTAAAAGCATAATTCATTATAAAGGCTTTTAGTGTAGAGAGTCTTTTTTAATTTTCCTGTAAAACATCTATGTAGGAGCCAGTTTGTTGAATGAGTCCAATTCCAGACTACCATTCCAGGGCAGCTGAGCCATGCAGCATATGTGGGTGTTGCTTGATCAAACATGCAAATACAAATCAATTACACACAGAGAAATAAAACCTTACAGGTAGATTCATTGGTACTTATCCATCTTTAAGAGAGGACATAAAACAGAGGTCTCGAGAGAAGTCTTAAAAACAATAGCAAAATCTATGCCTGGATTTTTATGCCTATAACTGAATTTTGTGGGCAAACATCAGTACATCTCTGTCTATTATAGACACAAAGCAGTGGATTCACAGTTACTCTCTGAGGTGAATATGAAATGGATTAGTTAAACCACATTACATCCCTGTGTGGATGCTGTTAATCAGAATTAAAGGGACCTTAATTTGGTTTAGTTGAAGGTTTAATAGGGTTTAACTAATCCACTTCAAATTCACATCTTTAGTTAATTTGGATTAATTTTCCTGGCTATCCAATGTGTAGACAAGCTCTTATGGGCATGAAGAATCCAGACCTAGCTATGACGACCTAATCCCTGGTGCGGACAGCACTAGGTTGACAGAAGAATTCTTCTGTCGACCTAGCTACCGCCTCTCGGGGGATGGATTACATACACCAATCCGAAAACCCCTCCTGCCGGCATAGGCAGTGTCTTCACTGAAGCACTACAGTATGCAGGGCCGGCTTCAGGGTTTTGGCCGCCCCAAGCAGCCAAACAAAAAAAAAACAAAAAAAAAGCTGCGATCGTGATCTGCGGCGGCAGTTCGGCGGAAGGTCCTTCTCTCCGAGCAGGAGTGAGGGACCGTCCGCCGAATTGCCGCCGAACAGCTGGACGTGCCGCCCCTCTCCGAAGTGGCTGCCCCAAGCACCTGCTTGGTAAGCTGGTGCCTGGAGCCGGCCCTGACAGTATGGGGCAGCTCTGCCACTGCAGCATTGTAAGTGTCAGTCCATTCTAAACCTCTGGATTCACTCCCTCACAACTTCCACAACATTTTGCTCTTGGACTGAAATTTCTCATGCTTAGCCACAATGGTCCAAGTTGAAACAAGTGTGCTTACAAGTTAACATGTGCATTCAGAGAAAAAAATAATGCCAGGTGAAGGCTGCCAAACAATATTATGTAACATTTCTAATTTGAATTTAACCCTAGATTTAGGGCCCCAGCTATTGCCAGAGTGTTTCTTGTTAGGAAAGTATTTAACTCTGGGAAAAGCATTGTTAGATCTTTTGTACAAAGTTTGCATTTTTTAAGTCTTTTTTCCCAACTTAGGTGAAGCGAGTGCTCATGAGAAGAAGCCTCCAGCAGAGTAGCAAAACCATGAAAGATTCTTATTTGTGACACAATTCCCCCCCCCCCCCACTAACTGACTTAGAATGTGTGCAGAAGTCACAGATAACTGATACAGAGCTTTATTAAATTCATCCCAAAGATAGGGAACTGTCTGAACCCCTTTATTTCCATTATCCCAAGCCCCGTACAGACTTTTTAGCTATTTATTTTCACCTTTTGGCTAGGCAAAAGATTGCCTGAATGCTGTCGTCTGTCAGCCTAAATCTACTGGATTTATTACCTTCCTTGGTTTTTGAACTCTGAACTAAATCCCACAGTGATTCTTCTATCTCCTGGTTCCCTCTGAGCTTGTCAGCTTGCTGGTGGGTTTATTGGTTATGGGAAATAATATGACAGAACCCAGTGGAGAAAAGAATTTTAGCTTTGTTTTTGTTCTCTCAGCCTCAGAAGACTCCTCTTGCATGTTTAAGAACCATTGAGCTATCAAGCAAAGCCACTACTTGGAGTTTTTTCAACTGTCACAACCTCATCTCATTGTTGCAACTAACTGGGCGGCAGATGAAGCAAGAACTCTGAGTCACAACACAGAATCTTAATTTTCCTTATTTCATTAACGCCAATATTGGCTCTTCTGTTCAGGAAGTTTCCAGTTGTTGGTCAGACATGGGAATACAACTTGGAAATCATGCAGCATCCAATTATAATTGTATGCTAGCTGCTTATTTTAGTATTCATGGTACAGGACAGTGTGATCAGAATTAGTCAAGATAGAGTTCTAATCTGGAAATGGAATTACATCTGCTACTTTAGCTATCATCATTTGACAAAAAAAGTTTAAATAATAGTATTTTGGCAAGAATTTAAGATTTCTCAAAAGGAAAATGTGGCTGGCACTTCATACAAATTTAAAGTGTAAATGCAAGTCTACTCCCTGTTGGGGTTAAACACAGGAGTTAAGCAATTTAATCTTGAGCCCAATCCTGATGTCAGTGAAGCCAGGGACAAAATTCCCACTGACTTCAACAGCAGCAGGATTGCTTTGTGCATCACAGTTTTTGATCTAACCTTGAACACAACTAAGGTGAATTTTCAGTTCATCTGGAAAAAGTTTCTTGAGGAAAATATCCCCTGAGGGACACTTGCAGCAGATGCACTAAAGCAACATGGATTCTTTTTATCACAGCATTGTACAGATATCCAGAGCTCTGAGATATAAATGCAGAGGTGAATCGCCTTTAGTAGAAGTTGTCCTAGATAATTATTGATGTGTCAGTCATAGGAGAAAAATATCAATGCCAGTCAAAGAGGGAGAGTATCAATGTATAGCAAATCCCTTACTGCTGCTTGCCGATGGGTATTGGACAGAATCCCGTGGATCTTCACTTTGTCTTTTTCCATTTGGTCTATGTTCACCCACAAATCCCGGCTGATAGAATCAAATGGGCCGTATGTCCTGGAAGTATAATAATTATGATCTGTATCCTCCTGTGGGGGGGAAAAACACACAAACAAAACCAAGTACAGATTAAAATGGAAAATGTCTCCCAGACATTTCTAAATTTTGTCTTTGAAATACTAAGTTTTATTGTTTCTTAAAGCAACAAATAAGACCAAACTGTTTCTATGGCAAGTAAACTAATAAGGAAAAGGTACAAACTTTAAATCTAGTATAGTATATATATATATTTTAAAAATAAATAAAATAGGAGGCAAGTATTTGCCTTGCATGTTATAATCTTATCTTACAAATGAAATTTTAGTCATCCCCAAAACTCAGATATATAGCTGCTGTAAAGGCCTTACTGAAATCTGTGGGAAAATGAATGCTGACTTCCAAGTGAGTGATGGCCAGTAAATCCCCTGTGACAACTTCTCCGCTTTAATAACAGCAACAAGCAGTACTACTTTCAGCTAATGGCTTTACAATGATGGAATTTGTAATATGTTTTCCTTTTATTGACCTGCTTTTTATTAGAATGCCCATTATTGATAATAAAAATTGTTCTTTGGTATGTCTCAGACTACTCTACTATTTCATCTTAAATTAGCATGAGCTTATTTTTTTATTGTATGTGTTCCACTCAATAAAGAGATCTAACTACTTAATGGATTCTGCTGTACCAAAGCCAGAATGTCCATCACTCTAGTGCATGTTTATTAGAGGTATCAACTAGAGCTGTATGAATAACTGATTTTTTCGTTTGCTGGAAGTTCTGAAAAACTTCTTCCAGTTGATCAGAATCAAAGTTTGTGTGCGCGCGTGTCTGTGTGTTTGACAAATCTGAAAAGTTGGAAACAATTTTTGCCGGCCAAATTAAATATTTTGTTCGACTAGAAAATGAAATTTTTCATTTTGGGTATTTTAATAAAAGTGAAGGAAATGAGAGGCTACATTCACAAAAAAAAAAAAACCCCAAACCCAAACCAAATTAAAAAAACCCAAAGAGGAGGAGGCGTCCCTTACAAACTTTAGCCTAGTGGTTAGGGCACTCAGCTGCGCTGTAGGAGATTCATGTCTGAATCCCTGCTCTGGAGCAAGAACTGTAACCCAGGTCTTCCCCAGCCCAGGTGAATGCCCTAATCAGCAGGCAATGGAATCATTCTCACTCTCTTTTTCTGGCCAGTGACTATTCAACTGTTCTATTCAAAGTAGAACAGCTTCAAGAAGAGATTGAGAAGTACCTTCCCAGAATATCTTATAATTGCTTCTTTGTGAATGGTGGCAAACTTCCTTCGTGAATCTAGACTGAAAATGTGAAATGTTTCGTTTTGATGAAATGAATCATTTCAATTTTTTTTTCGTTTAGTCCGAAACAATTTGCCAAAATCGACACCAATTCAGAAATATGTTTCAGTTGACCTGAATCTGCATTTTGGGGCAAAAAAAAGTCTCATCTGAAAAAATTCACCCAGTTCTAGGCTCAACCCCTATAAAATCCTAACTGTTCAGGGTAATAAATTACTATACATATGTTTTGAACTAAAATTCCTAGTTCTGCGGTTTCTAAACTGACAGTACTTAATGCTCATGCTTAAACATGCCCAGAAGCAGGGCCGCCCAGGGGGGGGAGGGGGGGGGAGTGGGGCAATTTGCCCCAGGACCCGGGCCCTGCAGGGGCCCTCACGAGAGTTTTTTGGGGCCCCTGGAGCGGGGTCCTTCACTCACTCCAGGAGCCCTGGAAAACTCTCGTGGGGCCCGGGCCTCCGGAGCTTCTTCCGCTCCGGGTCTTTGGCGGCAATTTGGCAGCGGGGGGTCCTTCCGCTCCGGGACCCGCCGCCGAAGTGCCGGGTCTTCAGCAGCAATTCGGCGGCAGGGGCCCCCCACCGCCGAAGACCCCAGGTCCCCTGAATCCTCTGGGTGGCCCTGCCCAGAAGCAAAGTCAAAGGTAAAATATGTGAGGACTGGATTTGCTATAATGGATCATACCATTAAGTGCACCAAGTTCTTCTTAAAACGGTGACAATTTTGTGATGTTTCAGAAGAAGTTCAGTGCCTTTGTCCACTTCTGCAATGCTGTATATGGTGCACATGATGGCCAAGACACTCAAAAGTGATAAGTTATTTTGAATGGCCAAGTTGAGCATCCACTACTCTGAAGCTGAAGCCCCTTTCAAAGCATCTCAAGCCGAGCACCTAAAATCTGAGGCACTCAAATTCACTAGTCAATTTTGAAAATCTTGGCCAGTGAGCATAATAAAACAACTAGCCCCATAGTACTCCAGTGAGTAAAGTCATTAATGTTTCTAAGCTGCTTTGAGATCTCTGGATGGAAGCCTCAACAGAAGGGTTAAGTATTGTTAGTATAACATGCAGAAAAATGTAACACTCTACTCTGTGGCAATCAGCTTATGCCCAATGGCACAAAATTGTTACCTTTCTTCGGCACACAAAAGATGTTGAAATTTGACATGATTATTTTTGTGTGTGTGCGTGCACACACACACACACACACACTTTGTAGTATAATAGTGTTCAAAAGCCCCAGTCAGGATCAAGATCCCATTGTGCTGAGTGCCGTAGCATGGATTAAAATATAGTCCCCGGCCTGAAGAGTTTTCCATCTACTTTAAGATAACATACAACAAGTGGGTGTAACAATCTATTGGAAGGGAAAGGTAGGATGGAGGTAACAGGGATAGGAACAATGGGATAGAAGCAATGATAAAAATAGATCCATAATAATAATTAGCTCTTATATAGTACTTTACAGAGGAGGTCAATATTATTCCCCTCCCACACCCCCAGATTTTTGCAGGTGGGGAAACAGAGGTACAGAGAGGGGAACTCTCTTGCCAAAATCATACAGCAGGTCTGTTACAAAGCCAGGAATAGAAGCTAGCTCTCCTGCATGCCACGCCAATGCTCCAGCCACTACACCACTAGCCATGCAACAACAACTAGTAGACTTCAAGCTAATTGTATTTAAAAATAAATTATTCAGAGATAATTCTGGTGCTGTTGGCCAAATGGAGCTTAGGTTTAGCAGGGCCTTACAGGCAAGGATAAGAAGCTTGCATTCAGTGGAGTGGAGAAGCAAGGGGCTCAAAAAGTGGGGGAATGACATGACAATGGGCCAGGAAGACAATCTTAGCAGTCATGTTTTAATTGGACCTCATGCAAAGGAGGTGGGTGTCAGGAAAGCTATAGAGGAGGAGGCTGGAATATTCAAGACAGGAGATAAGGGCCTGGATGAGAGTTTTGGCAGCATGTACAGCAAGAAAAGACCAGGGCTTAGAAACATTGTGGAGAAAGAAACTGAAAGATTTGGAAATGGAAAGATTTGGATGTACAGGTCTAGAGAAATGTTCAAGGGAACACCCAAATTATGTGCTCAAGGGACTGGAGATGGTGGGACTATCAATGACTTTATGGAGCTGGCTTCTAGCATTTTCCCTTCTAGCTTCACATTTTTTCCCCTTTACAAAAGGAACTTGAGTTGCGATCCAAAGATTTTACAATCTGCACTTCTACTTGTGGATCTGCAACATCCATTGCAGCTGCATATCCATGCTTACAGCTGAAACTAAAGAACTTTACAATTGCTGACAACTGCATGGCCTCTGCAGAAGAATGGAAACCAGTGGACTTGGGGATCTAAGTGGATTACATAGTCCTGCTAATATTATGACAGCTGCTACCTTGTAGGATACCTAAAAGGAGGTGGATGAGAGGGATGGAAAACAAAGGTGCTTGAGTGACAGCCAGAGACTGAACTTATCTAATATTCCTGTTTCTTTTTCTTTCTCTTTAATTGTTTTTAATTGTTTTCCTTTGTCACAAATTGTTGTAACTGTCAGAAATAATTTAAATGAAGGCGGTTTACCCTCTACTTCTAGTTGTGACAGGATCACACACTTCTTGCCTCAATGGCAGCAAGAAATAGCGTGGCAGGATTACAGACTTCTGTTTCCAGTTTTCTTCACCAAGCAAAGTAATTGAGTCTTACTATTGAAATATGCTAGACTTAGAGTAAATTAAAACCATTACCATTCATTTCAAACTTTCTCTAGACAAAGGACAGCCTAGAGTACGACTGATCAAAAGCAAGTGATTTGGAGGATAGGATTAAAATTCAAAATGATCTGGACAAACTGGAGAAATGGTCTGAAGTAAATAGGATGAAATTCAATAAGGACAAATTCAAAATACTCCACTTAGGAAGGAACAATCAGTTGCACCCATACAAATGGGAAATGACTGCCTAGGAAGGAGTACTGTGGTAAGGGATCTGGGGGTCATAGTATATCACAAGCTAAATATGAGTCAACAGTGTAACGCTGTTTCAAAAAAAGCAAACATCATTCTGGGATATATTAGCAGGAGTATTGTAAGCAAGACATGAGAAGTAATTCTTCCGCTCTACTCTGCGCTGATTAAGCCTCAACTGGAGTATTGTGTCCAGTTCTGGGCACCACATTTCAGGAAAGATGTGGACAAATTGGAGAAAGTCCAGAGAAGAGCACAAAAATGATTAAAGGTCTAGAAAACATGACCTATGAGGGAAGATTGAAAAAATTGGGTTTGTTTAGTCTGGAGAAGAGAAGACTGAGAGGGGACATGATAACAGTTTTCAAGTACATAAAAGTTGTTTCAAGGAGGAGGGAGAAAAATTGTTCTTCTTAACAACTGAGAATAGGATAAGAAGCAATGGGCTTAAATTGGCACAAGGGTGGTTTAGATTGGACATTAGGAAAATCTTCCTAACTGTCAGAGTGGTTAAGCACTGGAATAAATTGCCGAGGGAGGTGGTGGAATCTCCATCAGTGGGGATTTTTAAGAGCAGGCTGGACAAACACCTGACAGGGATGGTCTAGATAATACGTAGTCCTGCCTTGAGTGCAGAGGACTGGACTAGATGACTCTCAAGGTCCCTTCCAGTTCTATGATTCTATGATTCTCTATGAACATTGAGGCCATTCCAGCTGTCCAAAGCTCTAATCCTATATTTGGTCACATCTGGAATTGTCATTGAAAGGAATGGGAG